CAAAAAGTTGAAACTGTTCTACAGATGTTCTCAACTTTTTTCGACAGATCGCTCAACTCTGTAATGTAGCCGTTGTTTTGAGTATTCCCCTGCACAACTAAAATCAATTTCGTCAGTTTATCTGATTTGGTTCGGTGTTCTGTGCACCATATATTCAAAATATGAAGGCGTGTAAGCACACACTTATGGGAAGAACCTACATCAAAAATTATTCAAAGGAAACATAAACAAAATTTAGATATTTATTTATTAAAAGTTTTGCAAAAATATACACAGCTACAAAAGACGAAGACAGACCAACACAGCACAATAGACAAAAGGACAACTTAAACGCCCTTAGTATTTTTACGATTATACAGACATCTGCACATTTCTGCAGAAAAGTTTAACACATTCAAACCTTAAAAGTAAGATAAACATAATGACATACAAACCAATTTCTGCATTTTCTTGAAACACAACTAAAACTTCAACTAAACATAAAAAAGACGTTCACAAAATACACAAAATAGATACTATCGATAAAATTAGTTTTTCATGAAATACTTTACAAGGATGTTAATTATTAACATCTCAATTTAAAGTTAATGCCTTCAAATTCAAAATGCATTTTAAATAATCCAATTCGAGCACTCTAGCAAACGTTTGATCTCTTGGAAGTTCGATTTTAATTTGACAAAATCACTTTGCGCACAGCTGCGTTGCGAAAATGAACACGTATTCACGCTTTCAATGCTATTTTTAGAAAGTCCCGTTAGGTTTTCAGAAAAATGCGGTATGGTTTAAAGAAGATTGGACATTTAGGAGACAATTGGTTTACATTTTGTTTCAATCATGTGTGGTTGATTTTTTTGATTTTTGGCCTCTGACGGATCCACTGTGCAATAGAGGAAATGCTGAAACCTGCGTTGAAAGTGCAGAGAGGAGAGTAATATTCAAAAAAATGTTAAGTTAATTTAATCTATAATATATAAATGAAGTATTAATTTTTAAATTATTATTTTACTTTTATTTATACTAAATGTTGTTAGATAATTCATTCCTTATGTAAATAATTACAAAAATATGCTTTTGTTTTTAATTAAAAAAAAAAATKAAATAAATGATCTCATGAACTAAAAAAAAATGGTATTTATTTCTAATAAGGTCCTCCAGGAGCATATGGTCCTCCTGTAATAGAGTCTAAATTGCTCTGGAATGGTACAGATCCTTCATTTATAAAATAGTTAGTAAGTCTCTCCTTAAGTTAAACGAATTTGAAGGACCTCTACGCACCGAAGTTCGCATTGGTCGTAAAGTGTTGTTTTCATTTTCCCAGCGCCACTCACCGGCATGAACAATGTTATGACCTTCCACTCGATCTACATAGTTCTCCGGACAATACCAGCGATTGTGATCATTCTATGCAAACCAACACAATTTTTTCACAATTTTCTGGATTACATTCAATCGTTGTTTTCAAAATTCTCCACCGAGCAGTCAATATACCAAAGGAATTTTCTATGACTCAACGAGCGTGTGACAATCGATAATTGAAAACACGTTTCGTGTGTGTTAGATAAGCTCCGGGAAACGGGCGCATTGAATTATTTCGTAATGGGAATGCAGCATCTCCAACGAAAAAGTAAGGAAAAGGTTCCGGTGAAACGTCAGACAGTGGCACAGGTAGTGTCAAAGGCAGAGTGTTTTGTATTAGTGCATGGCCAAATGGAGTAAGTCGAAAGATTTGTGCATAAATAATAACAGAAATGCATTATACTACGGATTTAATGTTAAACAATTTAATGTACAGTACCTCCGTCACTTTGACTTCCATAGTTTCCAATACTAACTACTGTGAACGTATATTCCGCATCACATACAGCCATTTTTTATAGTTGTAAAACATCGAATTGGAATTGGCCGGGTACTTAATGGCAACGTGCTTACCATCAATTGCACCGACACAATTCGGAATGTTCCACATACTATAAAAATCTTTTGCAATGTCCTTGTATTGAGACTCTGTTGGTTCGCTTACATAAATTGGGAAAAGCAGCTGCCAGATTACTTCACACGTCTCTAATATGATTTCGCGTACTTTTGACTTTCCTAACGTATAGCTCCATGCAATGTTCTTCACCGACACGCCTTGTGACAAATAGCTAACAATTGTAAGAGAAGTACATATGCATACGTATATTAATTTGCAAAACACAACAAATCAACTTACAGTAATACCAACGAGAGCCTTTCCTCGGCTCCTCCAATCCGCTGCCATGGCTTCTTCAAGGATTTCCATACCAAACTCAGCAGCAAATTGTAGACGTCCGGCGGCATCCTTGTGTGCAAAAAAAGTTGTTCTGGTTCGGTATTTTTCATTACCAGAAACGATTTTTTTTGGTAACCACAAACGCCCCAGTTTTTATCGATTGGGCGAATTTTGTACCATCTCTTTTGTTTTTTGTTTTTGTTTTTATACTTTTTATATAAACTATATAAAGAGAACAGTTCAAACAAATTTAAAAACATTTCACTACTATTGTCCATTGCTGCTGACACAGTTTTTATAATTGTATGAAATGTCAAAAAAATTAAATGTAAACAAAAGAGAACAGCTGATTTCTGCGTTTTTGCCACGTTTTTCACTGTGCCCACATTTTCTCGATGAGGAAGGAAAAGGAAGGAAGGCAGTAGCGGTTTTCACTGGCTCTGCTATTAGTATGGTATATTATGGAAATGCCGACGGCAAAACGCAAAAGCATACATTGCGAAAGCAAAAATTGAAGCATGAAAATATCATAACGCTGTTGTTGGGAGTATGATAAGGAGCATGCATAGATATACATTTGTATATATGAATATGAATAGTCATAATTATGTATATACATACATACATATATATTTATGACTCTTTATATTCTTGGGTATGTGAGACAGAGAACACAATAAAAAATGTCTTTATGTTATCTGTGTGAGAGGTGTGTTTTGTACACATTTTTCGCTGTCAAAAGTGAAACAAAATATAAACAAACAAAACGAAATTCTTCGTTAGGAGTGTAATCATGGGCATGCATATATTTCTGTCTCTTCATATTCTCTGCTTCGGCATGTATGCCATGTCATCATATGCCGTAAATATTCTTCATATTCTCGGTTAGAATATGTGAGAGAATTGGAAAAAATGTTAAAATTGTGAGGCGAATTCCGACCTTCAATGTTAACAAATGCGGCGAATTCCTTACTTTGAATCTAACAAATGTTCGACATCGAACCTGCACCTTCTCTATACTTTACATTATCTGGTTAGACGATGCACGGCAGGGATAATGGGATGCCCAACTTATTCCAGTGTGAGAGCACCTCAAAATAAGCGTTTTTTATAAAAGTTTTCATTATGGCCAGATTGAACAAAATAAAAATTTTTGGGCATTTAAATTAAAACACCCAACAYTTATTACGATTGTAAATTATTATATATTGGACTTTTAATATATGGCGCAACTGCTTAATTCCTTTTTTATGATTTTGTGGTATATTAAAACAACTGACTTTCGATATTTCAATACTTATTGATGAATTAAGCCTGTTAGTTCTAAATTAATAAATGTTTTTAATCATTTCTAATAGAAAATTAGTTATATTATGCAGTAAATTCCTCCGTTCACATATATTTTTGGTATAATTTCAATCTGGCCGTTCCAGTCATTCCAATTGCAAAACGTCAAAACCTACTCAATCCAGTCATCTGTCAAAGTTCGGCAGGTTTTGACGTTTAGCAATTGCTCTCTCACTTCCAGTGAGAGAGGAGTTGGGCATCTCACTATCTCTGAGGCACGGCCTTCAAGCCACACCTCCGTGCCCGTCGGATTGGGGAGCGTGAGGTTTTTTCGTTACGGAATTTCTGGATTCGGTTAACTTGAATTAATATCAAAGAAAAAGAAATACTGCATGAACAAAATAAATAAATAATTATAATTGCTTAAGTTGATACAAAATGCTATGCAATAGCTTTACCGCGGCAGTAGCCGAGTGCCACACGTCTTTTTTGTTCTGTATTCACTAGTAGCGATTGTAAGGGTCGACGTGACTAGAGAAACTGTTTTTTGTTGTTCCTTTGTTTATAAATGTCCATTAAAAGAATTAACATAATTATAGCAGTTCTAGGCGAATAATGTATTTTTCTGAAAGTATCGAAAATCGTATTGAAAAAAGTAATGTGCAAGATATTTGTTTCACTTAACTCCATATTTCATTCAATGCCTTTATTGCATGTCTGTTGTCTGTGTGGAAAGCACCCATACAAGCAGCTCGATGATATTTGTTAAAGGCTTACATACGACAATCTTCGGAACAGTATTGAACTTTACAATTGGAACATTGTCGAAATTGTTGCAATATTTTCAACAATTTAAAAAAAATGTATGCTTAAAATTTTTATCTGCAATTAGAAACATGTCAATAAATTCTTTATGAGCAACATATGTATAATCAAGTACTTACATATGTACATACAAACACAATGTTACATTATTTCACGAAAAATACTAAGGAAATAAATAAATAGTTATTTTAAACATATGCTTACCTGGTTCACCAAAACTCTGCGCGACCTCTCCGCCCAGGTTCCTAATGCCTGCTGTTGTAAATGCCTATCAACAATCAATTTCGATTGCAAACTTTTTGGTTATCACTATTGTCGAAACTAAAAAAGGAAACAATATAAACGCTTTGTAACATTTATCAATTACACAAAGTTGTTACATAAATTTTCAAATAACAATCCCATCTTCTTATTGAGATAATTAGCTGCCCTCTCTAATATGCGACGCGTTTGTTCCTGCTTATCCATACTGAGACTCCTTCAAATCTAACAGCTAATGTCGTATTGTTGTTTGGTATTCGGAGAATCCTCGATTTTTTAATAACTCTATTACCTGCATCTTTAATATTTTTATAC